AGTATTCATGAACATTGGTAGAATTGTTTAGGGTGGATTCCGAAACCCTAGTGTTTGTTACATTTTAATTCCACTCTTTGATAATTCATCTATGCCTTTCTTATTCAATTTTAAAGTCCATTTACTTTCATGCAATAAAAATAGGTCACTTCAAACAAATCAAACCCCCCCCCTAATGTGTGTGTGAGTTGTGTGTTCGACACGTTATGTGTCTTTGTTACTGAATTTTATTTGTTTCTGTAATTGTTTTGGACTAAACCAGAGATGCTGTCTGTAAATACCACAGACAAACTATTGGCTTTTCCTTGTACCAGCTACACAAAACCGAATCAAACATTTTTATCCTAGCTCCCCCTGATTCAAAACCAGCCAATACTATGTGTAACTACACCGAGCAACAATCAACAGTGGACTCCGAAGAGGGATCTCGAATTTCTCCCCTTCACCAGCAGGACTTTCTTCTCACCATCGTCTTCAACCCCGGAAACTCGTCAGCGCGCCCCGTTTCCAGCAACAACCCACCACATTCTTCTTTCTTTGCTAGGATCATGCAACTAGCCACATGTGATTTTTCAGAGCTCCCCCTGCAACAAAATTTCTGCAGCTCCTGGAGTCTCGTGGCTCAAGGATATTAAATTCTCTGCAACTATGGGACAAACATCACACCACCCAAAGTGCGTACCACCTGAATTTAACACCCACAAGAAGAAATGTCATCCCTGGAGATTGTGAGAAACTTCTCCAAGAATTATACCTTCACTGCTACTCCTGTAGTTTTCACTGTCTTCCCGATCTAGACCTGCTGTGATCACTAGATCTCCTGACAGTCACTCATAACCGTCATCTTCTCCAGCTTGCCATCCTTTACCATCAACGCCCTTGCATGGCCCCGGTTGAACAAGGATGTCCTTCACTCTTCACTGCCAAGAGTAAAGCTTCATCTTCCATCAAACATGCTCCACCACATCTTGTGAAACAAATCCTTCCACCATGACGAATCTGCAATCACAAGAACCGTGATCACCGAACCAAAGCTCTGATACCACTTGTTGGGAAAACACCGGTTTCCCCCCTCGTCACGGCATAACCGGATGGAAGAAATACACAAACTAACCAACAAGCTCAAGATGACAATGAGTAAATACATGAGAGAACACACCAAGAATTTACGGGGTTCGGCAAAAACCTACCTACATCCCCAGAGAGTCACCACCTTCACTATAACATGAGAAAGATACAAGTACAATAATTAACCACTCAAGAGTTCTACACCCAACCCGAGTCCCGTATCCAATAGGATACACCCCTTGTACACCCTCTCTCATAAATATGAAAAACACTCTCTCTCCAAGAGATATACCCTCTCTTGAACCCTTGATGAACCCAGCTAAATACCAGCTGAAACATCTCCTGGAGTTCGTGGGACTGCTTGCTTGCATCTCACAAGCAGTCCACTCCCTCCCATTTCTCCTCTCTGCCGTGCTCTCTCTCTGGCTCTTTGGTGCGACACAAGCACACGTAAACGACCGGTCGCTTTTACCTGACGACCGGTCGCTCATCTCGTCAAAATTTGAAAAACGATTCTGTAAAAAACGACCGGTCGCCACTGTTCACTGTTCACGGGTGATAAAGTGGTGATAAAATGGTGATAGAAAATGCTGTTTGTGTTTTTCTTTAGTTTTCTTGTGTTGTTTCATTTCTTTTACATTTCTTTACTTATTTTTAGTTTCCATTTTGCATTTGTGCATTTGTGGTGTGTCAATTAAGTGTTCTTTACGTACTCAAACTAGAACTTATAGGAAACCGACAAGTTCTTCGTGGGATCGACCCCGTACTTACATAATCTATACTTCGTTAGATTCGTGCACTTGCGGGTATTTTTAATTGGTTGTTTGCACATTAATTTGTATCCTCTTAGGAATGCAACACTCTGTGAAGCAGACGACAAGATGGTTGGGATGGGGGGAAGGGGAAAAGAAGAAGAGCAATCTTAGGGAAAAAAAATTGGGGATTCAGGGGAGATTTGGGAGAAAGCTCCTCGACGGGACGAGGACAGGGATTCCCCGAAAATTATTATCGGAGACTGGAATGGGTATGGGGACTGGGATGGTATAGCCATACCCGCTCCCGAACCGGCTCATTGCCATCCCTAATA